GATGATTTTTGATAGGTAATCCTCCAAAATAGAAATACTTAGTTTTTGTTCATCAATTTTTCCCAAACAGCTGCACCATTCAACTGATAATTTTACATACATTTTACTGTCTGTCAGTTTGTTTGTCGTAGACCCACATGGTTCCGCGATAACTTGAAAACTATTTATCACAAACGCTTATTTTCACCATAGTGATTTGGTCATAACTATGTAGATGTGACCCAATTGATTTGGGGTCACTAGGGGGGGGTCCAAGAATCAAGGGGCCTAAATGATATTTCATAAAAACGAAATTTTAATTTTTTTTCTGGGTTGTCCCAAAGAGTTTTTGGTAAATTTATCAAAAAAGGACTTAACACTGTTCCTGATTAAATATAAGGATGTAAATGCCAAATGTAAATAGTGATTTTTTTTCTCCCAAGTTTTACAACTTAACACTTAATGTTACATTTAAATTAAAATAATTGCCTGTCAAATGTTGCCGCCCATAGTGTACAGCGCTAGGAAAATTTTGTTTAAAAATTGGGGTCCTGTGCTTTTTCAAATCCATCGTATTGTTGATGTAAATTGAGTATTGAAAAAAATATTATGTTTTTTATGTTCACATACGGTGCCTGCATACATAACTTGTAAAGAAATAATTATACTTTTTAGCTCACCTGAGCAAACGAAGTGCTCAAAGGGGAGTAGGCTTTTGTCATCACTCTGCGTCCGTCGTGCGTCGTGCGTCGTGCGTCCTTCAAAAAAGGCGTCAAACTTTCAACAACATCTCCTCCCTAAAACTGCATGGCCAATTGCAAACCAAACTTTTACAGAAATGATCCTTAGGTGGCCCCTTTCAAAGTTGTTCAAAAATTTAAATTCCATTAAAAACTCTGGTTGCCATGGCAACCAATAAGAAAAACTTAAAAAAATCTTCTTCTAAAAAAACCGTAAGAGCTAGACCCTTAGATATTTGGCCATTGAAAACATCTTCTAAGAGTGCCCTACCAAGTTTTGTTCAAATCAAAAGCCCTAGGGTCAAAAATTGGCCCCGCCCGGGGTGTCATTGATTTTTTCCCTATATGCATATAGTTTAAAAACTTAAAAAAATCTTTCCCTTTTAAAGAATCAAAGAGCTAAAAGGCTAAGATATTTAGCATGAAACATTTCCTAAAGGTGTCCACCAAGTTTGGTTTCAAGAATAAAAGCCCCTGGGGTCAAAAATATGGCTCCGCCCCGGGGCGTCCATGTGAAATTTTCCTTAATATTTTTATAGCAAAAACTTAAAAACATCCTTTCTTTAAAAAAAAACCCAAAATAGCTGGAGTTTAGCTTATTAAGCATAAAACATCTTCTAAAAGTGAAGTGGTGCTAAAAAAGTTGTTTCTAAAGATCAAAGCCCCTGGGGTCAAAATTGGCCCCGCCCCCGGGGGTACATTGATTTTCCTTATATGACTGTGTAATAGCAAAAACATTAAAAACTCTTCTTATGAAAAAACCCAGATGCTAGTGTTTAGATATAAAAGCATGGGAAACATATTCTAGTGGAGTGTCCTACCAAGTTTGTTCAAATAAAAGCCCTAGGGTCAAAATTGGCCCCGCCCCCGGGGGGTCATTGATTTTCCCTATATGCATATAGTTAAAACTTAAAAAATCTTCTTTTTAAAGAACCCAAAGAGGGGTAAGCTAAGATATTTAGCATGAAAACATGTTCTCATGGGTGTCTACCAAGTTTGTTCAAATAAAAGCCCTGGGGTCAAAAAATTGGGGCCCCGCCCCGGGGGGGTCCATTCCATAGTAGCCCTTGGACTTTTTTTTTTAGATATATACATATTTATATATATACACATTATATATATATATAAATGTAATTTGTATATATATATATAATATATATATATATATATTATATAATAATATAAAAAATATATACATAATATATATAATCAATAATTATATACATATTATGTATATATATTATATGTATGTATATTATAAATATATATATATTATATATATTATATAATGATAATAAATAATATATTATATATATAAATATATATATATATATTGTATATATACATACATGCCATACATATACAACCAAGCCAAAAAAGCCGGGGTTAAAACTGGCCCCGCTCCAGGGGCCTATTATACAGGTGAGCGCGACTTTGGGCCATCATGGCCCCTCTTGTTGAAATTGATAAGAAGAGTGAAGAAGTTGGAGCCCCCCCTTTTAGGTTTTACTAATGTATATGATAAAAGAAAGTAATAATATAGCAAGTTTCTTTTTTAAGAAACATGTTCAAAAAAAAAGATTAATGAGCCTTAAAATTAAAACAATTGCTGAAGGAACATTGTAATTTCACAAAGGGGAAAAAAGATATTGTAAAAACAAATAAATATTTCGTTAAAAAAATTTTATTTAGTATTATTAAAATAATATTTTACATTTTTACGAATTAAATATTTCGTAATTACTAAATAAGGTATTTCGTAAAAGGAAAAATCATTTGGTAAATACAATTAATCTTTCGTAAAAACCATTTTTTTTAGGAATTAATATTTCGTTATTACGAATTAATATTTCATAAAAACAAATATAATATTTTCGTAAAAAACAATTAAAATTTTCGTAATTACGAATAATATTTCAAATTAAAACCAAAACTATTTTAAATTTCATAAAAAATGAATTAAATGCCAGGAAAAAAGTTTTTCGAAAATGTCACCTTAGGGGCTATGTACTATGTTTGTGGACATTTTGCTTTTTTTTTTTTTTCTTTAGTTAGCCAAGAAAGGGTAAAACTACATGGTTCTTGTCAAACTTGTTTACCTCTCTCTCACAATATTGATCAGATAATGATAAAATTCAAGTCTTTCATACTTTTTCCATGATAATCATGTGATAGCAAATTTAAAGTGTCATTAGAATTAAAAGAAAAAATGACGTTTTTAAACAGTTTTTTAGTAATAATATATTATAATATAAATAATAATAATGAGTAATTCTTTATTTCATGAAGGTAAAATATTAAAAAACACGAGTCATGTCATATTTACAATATTGCCTTGCAATAAACAAGGTGAAAAAAACAATAAAATCCCAAATATGTAAACACATATATAAAAAAACAACAACAAACATTAAAATCAACAGACACATGGATTCATCAGAATATTCAAATTATTATTATAACAAGTAAATAGTTTTTAATTTTATCATTTAAAACATATGAGAAGAAGATTCTTTACTACATGCTTTTCGATGGTTTATAGAAATATATCAGTGAAACAAAAACTGATAATTTCACTGTTTTAAGGGTCAAAATTGGCCTGGCCCCAACGGGTCATTGGTTTTCCTTATATGTATATAGTGAAACCTTTAAAAAAAAAGCTACTTTAAATAAAACCAAAGAGCTAGAGCTTAGATATTTAGCAATAAATATCTTCTAGTGGGTGTTTACCAAGTTTGTTCGAATAAAAGCCCGCCCAAGGGGGTTAATGGTTTTCCTTATATGTATTTAGTAAAAACTTTAAAAGTCTTCTTCTAAAAGATACTAAAGAGCTAGAAGTTATATATGAAGCATGAAAAAATCTTCTTAGGGGTGTCTACCAAGTTTATTCAAATAAAAGCCCTTTGGTCAAAATTGGCCCACCCATTAGGGGGTAATTGATTATTCTCATATGATTAATACGTATCATTTCGAACTGTTGTTTTACCTAAGCAATAGAAATAATTATGGACTATTTCAGATACAATTATGAACTTTGTGATGGCCCTTAAATGATTTTAAATTTTCAAATTTTGTCCTGATTACTCCTGTTATACCACTGAAAATGTAAGGGATTAATCGCATACATGTGAACTCTCCCACCTTAAGCAGGAGACTCCCACTTTCTCCAGCCGTATTTTCAAAGATTTTACTTAAAATAAGGTTTTTTTTCTCAAATTAAAGAAATCTCCCTAGTTTTGATGTCAGAATTTCCTTCTTTGTTTATTGCAAATTCTAAAATCTCCCTCTTTTTGAAGAAAAATCTCCCACTTGATCATCAAAAAAAGTTCACATGCCCAAGTTCTTGTGCATATTACACAGGTTTTTAGGTTAAATAATTTTTAGCTCGACTTTTCTATGAAAAGGGGAGCTATCCTACTCGCCCCGGCGTCGGCGTCGGCGTTAGCGTTAGCGTCACACCTTGGTTAAGTTTTTTCGTACCACCCCACTTTATTTCAGAAGTATTACAAGTATGGCTTTGAAACTTACCATACTTGTTCACCATCATAACCTCCATCTACAGACAAGAGTACATAACTCTGTCAAGGTTTTTGACAGAATTATGGCCCTTTTTTGACTTAGAAAGTGTATTGAGCTTGGTTAAGTTTTTTGTACCACCTCACTTTATTTCAAAACCATTGGAGGTATTGCTTTGAAACTGACCATACTTGTTTACCATCACGACCTTCATCAACAGACAAGAGGACATAACTCTGTCAAGGTTTTTGACAGAATTATGCCCCTTTTTGACTTAGAAAATACATTGAATATGGGTAAAAATCCACTTATTGCCTTAACCCTTTGAGATATTGCTTTGAAACTTTTAATGCTATTTCACATCATTACCCCCATCTGTACGCAAAGAGAAGGTAACTCTGTCAAGGATTTGTTTTAAAAATTAAGGCCTTTTATCGACTTAGAATCTTGGTTAAGTTTTTAGTACCAGTCCACTTTTTGACTGAACTGTTTGAGATATTAATTTGAAAGTTGGAATACTTGTTTACAATCATGATTCCCAAACATGTCCAGGAGAAGGTAATTCTGTCAAAGATTTTATTTGAATTATGGCCCTTAACTGTCAATGTTTTGTATTATAGGCAAGCACTAAAAAAGTCGAGCGCGCTGTCTTACGGACAGCTCTTGTTGGTTGAGTTATGGCTATCATGAAGCGACACATTTGATCACTGATAATTCTTGTTTTGTTTTGGTAATATTATATGATAATAAAATGTCACCAAAAAATTATGAAAGCACAAATTATATTGACATTTGCATCAGCTTGATACACACAAGAGTTATAATTTTGATCAGTAGAAATTCAATTCTTAACCCTTTCACTGCCATAGGGACGGCTTAAGCCGTCCCTGTTATTTTCGGCGTATTTGCCATATGGACGGCTTTAGCCGTTTCTATAATAATAATAGTAATAATAATAAATTAATAATAATAATAATAAAAATAATAACAAATATAAAGAAAATTATACGATCAACAATAATTATTATTATACTAACAGATTTGAAAACATATATAATTATTATAATAATAATAACAAATAATAATAATTATATTAATTACTAATATAGTAATTTCTTAGAAAATCCTCTGGCAAATAAGTAAACAAAAAAACAATAACCCTCTGGCAGCGAAAGGGTTAATACTGTCTGCTTTTGACCACATCTTTTATTGGTCAGACAATACCCCAGAAAGGAGTTTGCATATATGAAAGTTTGCTACATTGTTTCTTGCCCTTTGCTGAAGAGAAAGCATATAGCATTTTAATGCTTCATGAGGTCTGTTTTCTTGTTCCATACATTGTCCTAAGATGTTTAGAGCTGTTTCTCTATGTTTAAGGTTAATATCCGTTACTATGGTTCTTATAAGTTTACTAAGTGATTGTTGTTTATCTTGGTATCTTTGTAGATGACTGAAGATCTTATATTGTAGGAAGTACAGGAAAGGTAGAGAATCAACTACAGCCCAGTCCATCCAATAGTCTGCATACTGAACTCTGTGTATCATGTCATCTTGTGTAGATCTGAACATTTCATATTGTAGTTCATGAGGAGTACAGTTCATCTCTTTTGGTATAAATCTGACACAAAAGGCTGTAATATGTTTGATACAGTCCTCACTTTGTTCACCACATATCCTCATGTATTCTTCTGTTACTGCTGATGGAGGATTATTCAAGCAGCCACAAATAGGTACAACAGGGTAAGAGTAGTATTGTTGTTCAATGTGTCTCAGAATTAGTTCAGCTCTCTCCATATCTCCTGTACAGTAGAACACAGAAGCCAATTTAAGTCTGCTAGATGAGATATCTGAGTTCAAACCAGCTGATAACCAAACCAATGCTTGTGGTGACACTTGATTATTTTCACTAATTCTAGATGATGCTAGGATAGATCCATATGTGGTAAAAAGAAAAGGTGCCATAAACTTGAATGCAGTCTTTTCTAATCTATTACCATTAACATTGATAGTAATTAGTTTACCGATACAATGCTTCATTGTTCTAATGTTTTTTGTGTGTAAATGTCTTAAAATGTGCACATGAGTTAGGCTTGTATTGTGTGCTGTGTTTAAATATTCTTCGGTCATATAAAATTCATGCATTGCAAGAGAAGATTGATAATAATATGCTCCATGTGGTACCATGTTCAGTTTAACTTGCAATCTATAGCCAAGATCATCGATTTCAATTCTAAGTAACATTTGTCTGTCATTCTGTAAAAAATCACTTATATTTTTTGAAAGTTCATGTTTTTTTTCAGCTGTAAATTGCCCTGCCATCAAATTGTTTTCTCGGATAATAAAATGTGAACAATGGTCATTCTGTACACAGCTATGTAATTCTAATAAGCAGTATGTTAAGCATATAAATAAATTGTTCTCTTTCCATATACTTGACTCTGTGTTTTCTATACAGTGTAATAGAACTGTTTTACACATGAAGCTTGATATGTTGATTTCCCCTTGAGGATTAAGGAAGGATTTAAGAATCATTTTCAATAATACATAGCACCTTATTTGTGTAATATTTAGATTGAACATAAGATGTTTTTCTGCCAGTGATGTAGATATTCTCCATTCCAGATCAGGATATTCACTGACCTTACTTCCAGTTGCAACAACAAAACACCTAGTACTGACTGCATATCTTCTCATGTCTTGTGTTGGCCATCTACCAATACCTTGTCTATCTAACCAATCTGATGCTGATTGAGGCCACGATTTACAAGGTAAAGCTGGCACAGAGTCCATATCACAGAATCCATCCTGTCCTTGTCTAGCAATTGATGGTCCATGAACTACAGCATCCTGAATGACAGCAATATATAATGTGTTTTTTAACAATATTCTTCCACTTCTATCATTTATATAGTGTTCATTAGGAATGACTGTAACAGGAAGAGGTATATCAGGTCGGAGCAGTTGTAAGAAACAATAACCAGGGGTAGTGCTCTCATCCTGTATCATGAGATAGTTTTTCTTGCCATGTTCCCACTCTGACCAGTCCTGTATTATATTGAATTCATGATAACAGAATAGTACATCACTATCTGAGTGAAGTCCTCTAGTAGTTGTACCTTCACTCTGACTCCCTAGTTGATAGCAAGTCATGTTTCTATCAATGAACCTGATAGTGATATTCTGCATAGTCTCCTCCAGCATGAAATGTCTTCTCCTTCTCATCACTAATCTTTCATTGACACCAATGTCATGTAAAACCTCTGATAACGCCAATGATAGGTTTTCTCTGTAGTCTGGTTCTTGAAACATTCTGTAATATAATAGTAAAATGGAAAATTGTTTCAGTCAGCTGCCAAAATAATTTGTTCACATACTTCTTCATGTTACTTAACTGACCTTGATGTCCTAGAACAGAACAGTACGGGATAGCCTGAGTACAGGATAGCCAATTTGGAAAGTTTACATAATTTTCGGTAGATATCAATTAATATTTATAATTTTATAGATTTTTTTTTCTCCTTTTATCTATATGTTTCTATATTTTCCTATTTTTATTACATGATCATTTTGATGTCATTATGATGAGGGGATGTGTGATTAACTAATTTCTTAATACTGAATGTTAAAGTTAATCCTGGCAAACTATATTTTATCAATAGTAATTATTGAACTAGTACTTTAAAATAGTGAAACATTTTTGATTTTCGAGTTACATTTATAATATTTTTTAATCAATACATAGTTATAAATTTGATTAAATTTTGTGTAAAAACTACATTATATTAAATTGTAACTTTAAGCAGAAGCTAAGAAAAGGATACTCGAATTAAATATAAACATTGTTAACTGGCATTAAACTCTTACATAATTAAATTTTCAATGAAATACTTTGTTAAAATATTATGTGTACAAAAATAAATCATAAACTTACTTTATAAAGTTGATGTCATACTATGTCACAGAAACAAATCAAAGGAATTGTATATATTGACTCTGTTTCGCAAGATTGAAAGAAATTTTGCTACTTTCTCTGATGATGTGAAGAGGAAAATAACTCATTTCTTCATCCTATTGTTTTATAAGAAAATTTGATTGTTTCCTCTGTTGAAAAAAACCCCAACCAACAACATATATGAAACTATAAGGACTATAAGGACTTTAATATAAAGTGCTTTCTATTAAAGCAATAAAGAATTATTATAAGAATTATTATTACTATATGAATTAAAATTATTTAATCTTTTACCTCATATAAACATGTTTTGACGGCTTTTTGCCCCCCCCCCCTTTTTGAGGCCTCAAACAGTGAAAAAAAACACCCTATTTAGCCCAAAAACACATTTTCATTTCAGAAATGTTACTTACTTAAGTTGGTGCCCAGTAAAACCAAACCAAACAAAAACAAAACAAAAAATAAAAAACTATATAGGTATACAAAATAATTATATGGCAATAGATCTTCTGATAAAATATTGTCCTATATGTTATTAGACCCCTACTGGTTTAACTGGAGGGGACTTTAGATTTACCCTCTGTCTGTCTGTCTGCCTGTCTGTACAAACATGTAGATACTTAGAGGGCTATGAGAAGAGTATATTTCCTTTGATGCTTTTCATTCAGTAAGCTCTTATTTGGCTACTTTTTCTCTTACTTGGCTAAAAGAAGAATAGGGAGAACAAAAGAGTAGCCACTTATATATCAGACATTGAGTAAGTCCATTCTTCAAACCGTCCGTCCATCCATCCATCCATCCATCAATTCATCCACAAAACTGGATCCCTTGATAACGCAAAAAGTACTGAAAATATTTTTGTGAAACTTGAAATATGGGTAGATGGAAGTCTGAAGATTATGCATGAATTTTTCTTTTCTTCCTATATTGAAACATTTGGTGGTTATAGTAACATATATATTTAATATTTGGCAAATATAACACAAATACTGGATCCCGGGATAATGAAAAAAGTACTGAAAACATTTTTATGAAACTTGAAATATGGATTGATGGTTATGGAAGGGTATTAACGCAAAAATTACATAATGCTTTCTTACGTTACATCGTGCTTTCTATCTAGTACATCTTGCATTCTAACTTGCACATCTTGCATTCTGACTTTTACATCTTGCTTTCTTACATGCACATTATGCTTTCTGTTGTGTGTGTCTTGCTTAATTGTATGTTGATATCATTATTTAACGATCATTTATTATTTATTTGTTAGCTCGACTTTTTTTTTTTGAAAAAAAAGTAGAGGTATTGCTATAGTCACGGCGGCGTTGCCGATGCCGTTCCCGTCCGCAAACTTGTACCTGGAACTTTTTAGCTCACCTGAGCATGCTCAGGGTGAGCTTTTAGGATCGATGATTGTCCGTCGTCCGTCCGTCGTCCGTTCACATTTAGTTGTTAACACTCTAGCGGTTGCATTTTTGCCTCAATTATCATCAAACTTGGTCAGGATCAAACTAGGTCACAAGAGCTAAAAATAGAAAAACCTTGTTAACACTCTAGCGGTCACATTTTTGCATCAATCATCATCAAACTTGGTCAAGATGCTTGTCTAGGTGATAGCTCGGATGAGTTGGAACATGGGTCATCTCGGATGAAAAAGTAGGTCACCGGAGCTAAAAATAGAAAAACCTTGTTAACACTCTAGCGGTCACATTTTTGCGTTAATCATCATCAAAATTGGTCAAGATGCTTGTCTTGGTGATAGCTCAGATGAGTTTGAACATGGGTCATCTCGGATGAAAAAGTAGGTCACCGGAGCTAAAAATAGAACAAGAGCGATCAGTAATCACATGTGTCGCCTCATGATGGCCAATTTCATGTTGGGACAAATTTTGTGACAGACGGACAGACAGACGGGCAGTGCACAACTAGACTTGGTACTGATCATTCCTGTAAAGATTGGATAAAATTGCACCAGTAGCTTATGAGGAGTAGTCTGGACAAGCTTTTGCCTATCTGGCAACACATAGAAAAAACACCTTTTTATCAAAGGGCCATAACTCAGCCCAAAACCATTCAACCAGAAAACCCTAGCAATATGTGCAAGAACTTGAGCTACAGATCAATCATGTAAAGTTTCATTGAAATTGCATTAGTGGTATAAGAGGAGTAGTCTGGACAAACTTTAAAATTTAAAATTATTAAAGGGCCATAACTCTGACAAGAATCATTGAACTGGAAAATGCTGACAATATGCACAACTAGACTTGGTACTAATAATTCCTGTAAAGTTTGGATGAAATTGCACCAGTAGTTTATGAGGAGTAGTCCTGACAAGCTTTTGTGTATCTGGCAACACAAAGGAAAAAAAACCTTTTTATCAAAGGGCCATAACTCGGCCAAAAATCATTCAACCGGAAAACCAGTGCAATATGCGCAAGGACTTGAGCTACCGATCAATCCCGTAAAGTTTCATTGAAATTGCATTAGTTGTATAAGAGAAGTAGTCCGGACAAACTTTAAAAATAATATTATTAAAGGGCCATAACTCTGACAAAAATCATTGAACCGGAAAATGCTGACAATATGCACAACTAGACTTGGTACTGATCATTCCTGTAAAGTTTGGATGAAATTGCACCAGTAGTTTATGAGGAGTAGTCCGGACAAGTTTTGTGACGGACGGACAGACAGACAGACGGACAGACAGACGACGGAGAAGTGATCCCTATATGTCGCCACAACTCTGTAGAGGCGACACAAAAACCTTGTTAACACTCTAGCGGTCACATTTTTGCATGAGTCATCATCAAACTTGGTCAAGATCCTTGTCTAGGTAAAAGCTCGGATGAGTTCGAACATGGGTATTCTCGGATGAAAAACTAGGTCACCGGAGCTAAAAATAGAAAACCATGTAAACACTCTAGAGGTCACAATTTTGCCTCAATCATCATCAAACTTGGGCAGGATGTTTGTCTAGGTGATAGCTCGGATGAGTTTGAACATGGGTCATCTCGGATGAAAAAGTAGGTCACCGGAGCTAAAAATAGAAAAACTTTGTTAACACTCTAGCGGTCACATTTTTGCATCAATCATCATCAAACTTGATCAAGATGCTTGTCTAGGTGATAGCTCGGATGAGTTGGAACATGGGTCATCTCGGATGAAAAACTAGGTCACAGGAGCTAAAAATAGAAAAACCTTGTTAACACTCTAGTGGTCACAATTTTGACTCATTTGTCATCAAACTTGGTCAGGAAACTTGTCTAGGTCATTGCTGGAAATAAATCGAACATGGGACATCTCGGATGAAAAACTAGGTCACAGGAGCTAAAAATAGAAAATCTTGTTAACACTCTAGTGGCTACTGTTGTGATCCACATATTCTGGTAATTGGTCTGAAAGTTTGTTTTGATGATTTCTAAGTCAAGATCGAACATGGGTCATCTTGGATGAAAAACTAGGTCACACCGCCCAAATATGGAAAAACCTTGTTAACATTCTAGTGGTCACATTTTCGACTCAATTATCATCAAACTTAGTCAGGATGCTTGTCTAGGTAATATTTTGGCTATTATTGGTTGTAATTTCGTTATTTTTGAATGGATTGTCTTCAAACTTGAACATAATAATCTTCAAGGAATATATCTCTTAAAAATAACCAGACAGACCTTGACCTTCACTCATTAATGACCTTGACTTTGAAGTTCAAATTATTGAAATTTTCATTGTTTTGGCTGTAACTGGCTGTAACTTTGCTATTATTGAAGGGATCAACTTCATATTATAACAGAACATACTTAAGGACAAGACCTTGTTGTTTATCAAACACTTGCGCTCTTTAATGACCTTGACCTTGAAGGTGAAATTACTGAATTTTCTCAGATTTGTGCATTAAATGACCATGTATACTTTTTGGTGTGTGTGTGCGTGCGTGTATATATATATATATATCATCATCATCATTATCATCATCATCATCAACAACAACAACAACAACAACACGTGTCACCACCACCACCATATGTCACCACTACCACGTGTCACCACATGTCACCACCACATACCACCACGTGTCACAACCACCACGTGTCACCATGTGTCACCACCACCACGTGTCACCATGTGTCACCACCACCACTAGTCACCACCCCACCACCACGTGTCACCACCACCATGTCTCACCACATGTCACCAACACGTGTCACCACCACATGTCACCACCACCATGTGTCACCACCACATGTCATCACCACCATGTGTCACCACCACCACTTGGCGTCGCCACCACCATGTGTTGTCACCACCACCATGTGTCACCACAACCACATGTCACCAAAATGTGTTACCACATGTCACCAGATGTCACACCACGTGTCACCACCACACGTGTCACCACCACCACGGCGTCCCAACCACATGTCACCACCACCATGTGTCACCACCACATGTTACCACCACCACATGTCACCACCACCATGTGACACCACATGTCACCAACACATGTCACAACATGTCACCACCACGTGTCACCATATGACACCACCATGTGTCATCACATGTCACCAACACGTGTCACCACCACGTGTCATCACATGTCACCAACACGTGTCACCACCATGTGTCATCACATGTCACCAACACGTGTCACCACCACGTGTCACCACCGTGTGTCATCACATGTCACCAACACGTGTCACCACCACCACATGCCACCACCACATGTCACCACCACATGTCACCACCACATGTCACAACGAGTCATAACCATGTGACACCATGACCACATGTCACCACTACCACGTGTCACCACCACCACGTGTCATCACAACATATCAAACACCATGCCACCACCACCACATGCCACCACCACCACGTGTCACCACATGTCACCACCACCACATGTCGTCACCACCACATGTCACCACCACCACATGTCACGACCACCACGTGTCACCACCACCACGTGTCACAACCACGTGTCACCACCACCATGTGTATCTATTTATAGAATTTTTCTATTTATAAAATTGCATGTTTCTATTTATAGAATTTTCTATTTATAGAATTGCGTGT